CGACAAATCCGAACTACGTCCGGCGAAGGTAATGACCCAATGTCTTGGTTTTCCGGATACGTCATTTCCGGTCAGGGCAAAGACGCCAGCTGATGTCTGCAGCCAGATGCTTGTGGTTGTGTTTGGCAAAAAATAGAGCCTAAAGGCAAAATCTATAATAAAAAAAAAGTGTGGGCCCCAAAATAGAACCTTGTGCAACACCACTGGTCACAGGTGCTGTTTGTGATGTGAAACTCCCCAAGTTCGCATAGAGGGACCTATCATGTAAATAGGACATGAACAATTGAAGAACAGTGCCACTTATAGGACACATGACTCCAGACGAGACAGCAGAATGTCATGTTCGACAGTGTCAAATGCAGCAGATACATCCAATAACAGTAGTGCAGCTGAGTTGCCAGAATCACTGATTATCAAAAAACCATTAAAAACCAATAAAAGAGCACTTTCGGTGCTATGACGTCCTAGAAGCCTGGCTGAAATTTATGCAAGGTCAAATAGTCCTGTAGCTGAGAATGAGCTACTTTCTTTAGAACCTTTGACAAAAAAACTGAGTTTAGAAATTGGCATATAATTAACAGTTGGATCTAAACTTGGATTTTTTTAATAGTGGAGTCACAACAGCATGTTTAAACACACAGTGGGGCACAGCCTGAGAGGAGGGACCAGTTGATTAGCCGATTAAGCCGAGTTTAAGAGCCTGCACATAAGAGGTGGAACACAGTCTAGAAGACAGAAAGAAGGCCTTGAACGATTGATAATGACTGATAATTCCTCCAGCGAAACTGATTGAAACTGGCACCAGGATGTTAGACAAGAGGGGAACGAACTGGGATCCAGAATAGACAGTATGGAAATAGAAGATCTGATCTATGTAATTTTGTCCAAGAAAAAGGTAAAAAAGCTGTCACATAACTTCTGAGGGTATAATGCTACTGCCATTGCTAGGGTTCACAATACTGGTAAAAGCCCTGAACAGGTCTGTGGCTGTTTGTGGAGACAAGATTGTACATGAATGGTATACTGGTGCACCATTTCCAGGAACTAGTAGTGACCCACATCACAGCTGAGCTTCAGATGGCAGGTTTTGGACTCCTGATATTTGACATCTCCCCTCAGATTGGATGTCAGCAACACAACTCGACCACTGACTTGAACATTGATGTTTTATCTCCACAAATAACACAAGGCTGAAGGAGCTTCTGCCGTGTGGTGGTGTTGCTAATGCTAATGCTGCTTCTATTAGTCGAGACGTTTTCTGCTGTTTCATTCCCCATTGTGAGTCAAGATGAGTGAGTCCATGTTGGCAGTATGACGTAGATCTGTCAGGCTTTTCAGATCCTAGACTTTCACCATCTATTTGCATGAGTGACCAATTAGTATCCAAAGTAATCTTTAAGAAATGGGTTTTCAGTGTTGTATATCTTTAAGTTAACCACTCCTCCTTCTTTAATTATTACTGTCATTGTATTTGTGTTTTACTTTGCATTTCATCCTCATTTACTTTTTCATATTTCACCGATTTGGGGATTAACAAATTTGAATCTAATGCTGTAAGCAATTAAAACAATCTGCAGTACTAAAATACATAGAAAAATAAAATAAATAAATTTAAATAAAATGTACTAATTATAGTAAAAATTATTTTCTTTTGCTCTTTGATTGGGGGGGGGGGGGTAGAAGTGCTAAAAAGCTATTGCTTAATTCAGCTTACTGGAATTAAGTTAATTAAACAAAAAAAGTTTGCAGTTTGTTGACGTGTGTTCTGGTGAACAAGCCTCCTCCTGCCATCCCCCACTGAGGGAGACCATCAAGCCCTGCTGTGGTGGCCTCAAGGCCCTAACACGAAGCAGATGTGTGAGGAGAATCCCTCGGAGCAACTTCTGAACATCCAGCTCACAGGAGTCACGTACGACTGATGCAACATCCATGACAAAGTGCTCATGCCAAGCCAGCTGTGGTCATCCTAAAGAGAAAGTACTGTGTGTGTGCGTGCGTGCGTGTGTGCGTGCGCGTGCGTGCGTGCGTGTGTGCGTGTGTATGTGTATGTGTGATGATTCATTTCTTGGATTTGCAGTCACAAGGGATGAATGTCCGGTGGGACGAGTGGCCAAAGTATAAAACGTTTCTCTTATTTGGGTGAACCAGGCTGCAGGTCTCCCTGTGGAGTTGGCTCCAGCGATTAACATGTCTGTTTATCTGTAAAACGGGCTGCTGACCTGTTTACACCTTCATTCAGTTTCTGTCAAACTAAGCGCTTCTCGACGTTTATTGCTGCTTGTTCAAAATGTTCAAATTTTATCTGGATTTTTCTGACGTTTCACGTCACTCTCATCGTTATCAGCTGCCCCATCACAAGTTAGCATAAACTAGTCGTAAACTACCAAACTACATCGCTGAGGTGAAAGGTTAAAAGATAAAAGCAAGGATGAATCACCAAGCTGAGGCTTTCATAAACTCCTTTATGAGCTGTTTCTTTTATTTGAATATTATTTATTGAGGGGGAAATCTTCCAAGAAAACGATGACTTATACAGAGAAAATGGATTCATGTAAATAGATCCAATGAAGCTGCTTTTAAAGTTAATGAAGCATGAAGCGACAGAGTGTAAAGATATGAATTGAGAAAAATAATACTGACAACACAGTAAAACTGTTTCCTCTCTTGCATAAATCAAAGCTTCTCATAAAAGCATCATTTAATAAGAACCTTTGATCTTTTAGGTGGATCTCGTTGGGTTAGAGGGTCAAAGTGCATGCACGACTCTAATTATAAATCCACATCTTAGGCTCTTCTCGTTGGTTCTCTCTCACACACACGTCTGGAACTCTGTCAGCAAACAGAGAAAACTGTGGTCAGAAAACAAGACGGTGGCATGAGACTGAAGGTCTGAGCAGTTTCCTGTTTAAGTGCACTGGCTGATTCAAAATTTGGGTTTGGGCTAATGTTCTCACTCATCCTGTTTGACGCGCTTTTGGAAAATACGGTGTGGAGAGGAATGTGACTCGGCCACTTGTACGTTTATTCATCATAGACTTGAACTGGAAGTGAACACGATGTGGTCAGACCTCTGTGGGTTTAGAGCTATTTATTTGGTAGGTGTCTTTCAAAATAAGAGCAGTAGCTCTGTCTTTTGGGAGCCAACAGCTGAGATAAGTCATGTCACTGCCTGCTTCTTGGCTTGTTTTTGCTTGTGATAACAGCATTTATTAAACAAACAAACAAACAAATAAATAATTCAAAGCAACAGTTTTGGACATTTTCATCTCCTCTAGTATTTGTCTCATTAACAGAAATGGGTCAGAGTCATTTAGTTTTGGGCTGATTGGGATAAATTGTGCCCTGGCATCAGATTAAAGCCTTGCCTTTGCTCCAGAGGGGGTTAGTGGGAGTAATCAGACTGGTAAAGTGAACCAGTGAGGGGTTTCATCTTCATCATCTTTAATAATATTTTCACTGATTTTCATCACCACTGACACAATTCTGGCATGAAACATCTAAAAAATGGAGGTAAAAAATAACCCTCAAAAGTAGCTTCATTCTAAAATTGACTAAAGGAATTAGTGGGTATTATTAGACATCATAGATGTTTTAAGCCTCTGTTATTCTAGTTTTTCTTGGTATAAATCTGTCAGGAAGAAAATCTGCAACAATTTTACATTTTGTTTTGTTTTTGGGTGCAGTTACTAGTCAATCATCAGTGAATAATTGTTTCAATGAAACTGAAGACTTAAAACACAAGATGGAAGAAGAGATTTGGTATGAGAATGAAGCTTTTATTCATAACTTTTCATGGGTTTTTTCCAAATTTTTATTTTCTTCATCATCTTATCAGAGAGGTGAATGTGGCCGCTGCTTCACTGCTTTGAGAACCATATTTTAGGATGTGAACTTGGACCGCAACCAAATCATGCATAAAACCAGATCTAACACATCTTTTAAAAGGAAGAATTGTGAGATAATCTGTCAGCAATCAGGAAATGAGTGAAGCTGTCTCTTTCTCCCAGGTAATGTGAGAAAGTTACCGTAAATGACCAATTCTTACCCTGTCGTTTTTTTTATCATTTAGATACTTCATCTGATTACCATTCTGGGTATATTTAGACTTCAAAATAAATGTATAAAACTAGCTAAACATTTGTTGTACAGACATTTTCCCCTTTGTGCTGCAGTATTTTTGCCTTTGCGTCATTGTTCATTTTAAATGTTCAAATTAATAAAATGTTTTATTCTTTTAATTAGAGAAAAGTAAGAAAACCTTTATTAGCCTCTGGGTAAAATTTTCTATAGTAAACTGAGGGCAGATGGAGACAGACAGTTCTGTCTGACTCCATCTAAAAACATGATTTGAGCGTCATCAGGTACTCAGTTAAATTAGTGATCGTTTTGAACTGAGAATATTAGATGTAGAGAAAAGAAAGAGATTTTGGTTTAAGCTTAATATGAATAAAACTGACTAACATCCCCCTGCAGTACAGCCTGGCCCCTCTCAGTTGCCCCCTCCTTTTATGTCCTTTGCAAAGCTTCATTTGGATTCTGCATTTATTATTATTATTATTGTTATTATTATTATTATTGTTGTTGTTGTGGAACTTTTGTTTTTATTTTTCCTGTTATGCCAGATTTCCCCTTAAGAAAACATGAAACAATAAATTGTTGTCAAATATTTTCTGTAATTTTTTGGCCGAATTCATTCATAGATAAGAGATTTTCACACGGAGAGATCCAGCATAGCCACCTTTTGCACCACCCACTCACACACACACACACACACACACACACACACACACACACACACACACACACGTGAAAAAGTTCTAGATCCGACATAGATTGAATTGAATTGACTTACTTCACATAAAGCAGGATACCTTTGACGTAAGCTTGAGAGTACGAATGAACAGTGTGCTGGGTGGCTACTGTTTCCATCCATCATTGGTAAAACACCTGAGAGAGCTTGGCAGAGGGGAGGTGTCAGAGGAGGTGGAGCAGCCTCCTCTCACCGTTTAAATGAGCAGGAGGAGTGTCGGAGTGAGCACTCCGCTCGGATTTAACTGCAGCAAGCCCAAAGCATCACTCCAGCTGAGAAACTTACGTTCAGAACTGTGTCCAACAATCAGGAGGAAGCGTGAATCATGTGCGGTAAGTCTGTTTTAGGGGGTTTGGGGAAATCTGTGAAACAGAAGGAACAGAAAATAGCCAGAATGGATCAAAGTTTGTGCCCGTTGTGTAAGAAGGGGACTATTTATCATAAAAGATGCGCTCATCTTGCGCCTGGTCATATGTGGCGCAACAGTTGTCTGGATAAGTTGGATTTCTGGTTTGTGCGGATTCCTGGAGCGCATTACACGTGCCAGACTTTGATGGTGAACCTTATTCACCCAGATTTTATTAATAGCATGGTTAGATCCTTCTGTTGTCTGCTGCGCGCGGCTCTGTGAAGCCAAACATTAAATAACAACATTTTGAATCAGTCTTCTCCAACACACACTTTTACGATCTAAAGTTAATCTTTAACTCTACACTAAAGGGTCAGACACATTCAGGGATTTACCGCACCCTGTTCCAACACTTCGCGCAATGTGCGTCCGTCAATGGCCAGCTGTGTTTGCGGGAGGCGAGCTGGCCGGCCGGAAACCACGAGCGCGGGCGCGCGCGCGCACGCTATAAAGGCTGATATGTGCTTCTGTGACGGCGACCTACCTGTTGTCTTGTTGTCCTACTTAATCATATTTAGGCCAGCCTTCATGATGGAGGACACAGCTGACAGCAAGGATCTGTAAATCAAAACATTTTAAATCTCAACGTCAGCGTTTTTACCATTTAAATCCTGGTAACAATAAAATGGGGTGGGACACTTTTAAAGCTAGGGAGAAATTCATCCAACTTTTATTTTGGCAGTCGTTTCATTTTTACAGCAGGCTGAGTTTGCACGTTTTATAGATTTTTAGTTTGAAACTTCAAAATGCAACTTTTAATATTTATTTTGTTCACTTTAGACCAGAGGCGCCCAACCTGGGGGTCCTTGACCCCCAAGGGGGTCCCCACAATTTTGTCTGTATGCGATTGTGAGATTACCAAGATTATATTGTTAAAAGTTAAAAGTATTAAATCCTAATAACACACCTATTTGTATTATCAAACTCGTTATAAGAGTTATAACTCTGAATGCCTGCATAAAGTTTGTAATTAATTATCTTTAATGTGTGTATGGGTAAATGTTGGGGTTGGGGGTCACACACAAGCAAAGGGGTCCTCAAGAAAAAAGGCTGCTTTAGACACACTTTAGTCTAAAGCAAGAGACACAAAAGGGAAAATAAAATGTGTGTTTAAGTTTGAATCTTAATATTTAGATTTAACTTGTTTACTTTAAATTCCAGATAAGTATATTTATCTTCACATTTAAGTATATTGCCATTATTTAGATTTAACTGTGTATTTAGGTTTGATTCTCTTGTTTTAACGTTTTATTTGAAGCTAATATGGCTTTTAATTTTTAATGTATTACTTTACAATGACAGCTGCATAAAATAACAGCTCCAATGTCCTGCAATATAAAACTCTTTTGAAAGAGCTGAGTTAATCAGCTTAAGCTGTTAGAAAGAGTTGGGCAGCTGCAGCAGCTCTGAGGGTCTGAGTCATGCTTCTGCCTCTGTCTTTATAAAAGGGATCTTTGCTTACCTGAACTACCAAGTTCCTCGCACCAGGAAGGAGATATTTGAGACGCTGGTAAAGGGACTGCAGAGGCTGGAGTACAGAGGGTACGATTCAGCAGGTAAGACACTCAGCTTCATACAGAGATGCCTCTCTCTCTCTCTCTCTCTCTCTCACACACACACACACACACACACACACATGGGTGCATAATCCATGCAACACTTGTTAGTGTGCAAAGCATTAGGAAATCTTTCTTTGGAAATGAATGTTTTGAGCCAAACCCTCGAATGCTGTTCAAAACACATTCAGGTCTTTGAATTGTGGGTGGGTGTGTCACAACAAAGACTTAAAATGACAGGGAGTTAAAATCCCAGCAGAGATGCATAAGACTGTGAATCCAACCTGTAGGAGTGAATATGAAGGCATTCCAATTAAATAATCCAACCTCAGCGATGTTGGGCAGGATTAAACTGGTGTAACAGGTGACACCAGCACATGCGTCATACAGTCCCACCTGTATCTAAGCAGTTATTCTAAGAGAGACTCAAACTCTTTCTAGATAAATATCTACTCCTGCACAGATCATCTCATTCAGATTGTTTTATTACATGGCTGTTATTCTCAAAAAGACACACCCATTGTCTTTATACTTTGTTTGTGCATCCTATTTGAACAGGGTGGAACACACACATACACACACATACACACACACACACATAGACAAATGTATGACTTTAGCGGATACACCATGGGAGCAGGGCTGGGATCTGAACTACATTTCCAGCCTCAGCCGTAATTACTAATAAACCTAACCACCATAACTACCTAAGCTTGATCTCATCTTTCTCCCATTAACGTAACTATTAATCAGATGAAAGACCCAAATAAGGCAGACATGTTGCTATGAGACTGTGAGCTGGTTCAGACTGCTGAGACATGAGTGAAGAGCACATTACTACTTCATCTGTCCCTGCTTCATCTGCAGGCATTGCTGTGGACAGCCCTCACAAGACAACCAGTGACATCAACAACAGCATCTGCTTAATTAAGAAGAAGGGCAAAGTCAAGGCTCTGGATGAGGAGATACATCGTGAGTTTGTGCACATTTAGCAGCTTTTGCTAAGATGTTTGTGTTTTTGCTGTACCTCAAATAGTGGTCACCATGGTTGTCCAGCTGTTGTTGCTTTAGAATTAGCTTGTTTTCTCTTTTAATTTTGTAAAAACAAAGTTAATGATTAATGTATGTCCAGAGAAAGAGTTGCTAGACCTGGACGAGGAGCTGCACACACACTTTGGCCTGGCACACACTCGCTGGGCCACACATGGAGAACCAAGTGCTCTCAACAGCCACCCTCATCGCTCTGACAAGAATAATGGTAAGTCATGTATTCATACTTTTAGGATGGTATGGGTTTTGTTAATTTATTTATTTACACATAATCTAGATGAATAAACCCCTTCAGTTGAACCATCTCACTTTCAGGAAAGTCCTTTTTGGAGTCATTTTACTGTTTTCCTCCAATACCAACTTTTGAGTCCAGGGTTAGTGTGAATGGTTGAGCTGTTAAACAGACGCATAAAGACTCATGCATCGTTTTATTCATTATAGTAGGCGTGACGATTAGCATTAGGCCTACTTACGTTATACAAACAGACAGAAGAGGTGGGCTGTAGCTCTTCAGTCATACATCAGGTTATCTTAAGAACTGGCACTGTTCAGCCTGAAATAAACTCTTTCCAAGGCCAGCCTGTTGGACTTGCTTCGCTACACATGCCCGAAGGTGTGGTACCTTTCATAGCTCTAATTATAATTTGTGAAATTCTTTCAACAGAAAACTAATTTAAATAGACCACAGCAGTGTTTAAGGTCGTCTTTTACCTTTTTTTTGTCAGAGTTTGTCGTCATCCACAATGGCATCATCACCAACTACAAGGAGCTGAAGAAGTACCTGGTAAGTTGTCCTGCCACCTTAAAATCATCCAGCAGAAGAAAGGAAAGCTTTTCCATGGATTAAAATCATCTCACGAGTGAGTCAGAAAGAGGGCGTGATGCTGGTTATACGATGGACAGAACATTAATGTTGAAATGCAATCTGAAATCAAGAAGGTGCTCTGGAAGATCATTTTTGTATTAAAATTTGCACCGAATGACGTTAGTGTTACACGATTAAAAGAACACCAGGAAAACTCGTCTAGTTCCGGGAAGTTGTTTGGAACAGCCGGTTTTACCATTCCTTGTTTTTTAAGTGGTGTGTTCTCATTCCCTGCAGATCACCAAAGGATATGAGTTTGAGTCGGACACAGACACGGAAGTGATCCCAAAGCTGATCAAATACATTTATGACAATCGAGAGAACAACAGCATCACCTTCTCCACACTGGTAGAGCGAGTAATCAAACAACTGGTGAGCTGGTCACACCCTAGCTCACACTCTTCACACCAGCATAGGTTGTGACATCATTAGTACTCTGACGAGGTTTTCTTTGTTCTTGGCTTTTCTTTCATTTAGACATTTAAATGTAGACATTTGGTCTGATTATTATGAAAACAAACGTTGAGATTCATAGAAGAAATGTAATCCTGTCCAAAACGGTGCTCCACGTTCTCCCTAATAAAACATATACAACTATTTTCAAAAAACAGTCTCCATGGCAACTGCCCCAATATACTTAATAGTGACCTCATCCTCGCTGTCAGATTCATTTGGGTGAAGCTGTTCGAGGCTTGTTTTTCCACTGTGTGAGCCATGTTTGAAAGCTTCCCCTTTCTGTGGCGAAAGCATTTCTTTTGGGCTAGGAATGATGGAAACCAGATAGCCCAGTCTCACATCAGCGTCACCCTCCTCCTCCCTCCCGCTTTGTGTTGTCTTACCCCCCCACCCCCACCCACCCACTACAGAAATCACACTCTCAGCCAGCTCTGCTTCCAGTACGCACCACAAGCAGCCTCGTAGCCAGTGCTGTCGAAACACAGCTGATGTTATACAATAGACCTCCTGTTTCTTCTCCGCTCTCAGACCTTCCCTCTGATATCCCAAAACTTTTTTAACCCCCACACAGACAACAAGGAAAAACATAGCAGTGTGTTTCAACAATTTGTTGACAACGAATTCCTACTTAAATATATTTTTTTTGTCTTGAGTGTGGGTTTTAACACCACTTCCTGTCAAGCAGCCAGCTGACATTTATTTATTTAACCATTTTCCTCAGGCTAACACAAACATTCTGTTTCTCTGTGTGTGTGTTAGGAGGGAGCTTTTGCCCTGGTGTTCAAAAGCCGTCATTACCCTGGAGAGGCTGTGTCTACCAGGTTGGTAACACACACACACACACACACACGCACGCACACACACACACACACACACACACACACACACACACACACACACACACACACACACACGTCACAGTTTGTCCAGCTGCTCAGTGGGCCAGACGCACTGCGATATGACTCATCCCTGTTATTACTACATGAAGCAATATCAAGGCTGATCGTAGAAGACTTGCAGATGTAAGTGTGTGTGTGTGTGTGTGTGTGTGTGTGTGTGTACTTGTCTTTATAGTTTTAAGAGTACAAATGTTGACTTAAACCTGTAACGTGTGGACAGTTTGCTGGTCCACACAGTGCTAAGCACCCTAGAACTTGGTTTTAGAGGTAAGGTGTGCATTAGCTTTTAGTTTAGGTTAGGGTCCGGAATAGAGCCCCATTGGTTATGGTTAGGGTATAAATTAGGAGTCGCCAACATGAATGGAAGTCAATGGAAGCCCACACACACAAATAAATGCACATGTGTGAGTACTATATACGTCTTAAGACCTGAAGTTGAATTCAGGTTTTTCCATTCCTCCCCCCCCCCCCCCCCTACCGGGCCCCTCTCCTTGGTTGTGGCGTCTACGCCTCCTTTTCTGTGACTCATTAGCAGGAAAAAAAAGAGACTCCTTCTGGTTTAGCTCTGGGAATACACCCAGGCTGCGTAAAACTCCAGGTTAACTGCATCTTTTCATGTTTATGTGACTGTCCGGGGTTCCGTGAGCTGTCTCAGATCAGGGTAAAAAGAAGTTTCCAGAGGACAGCTCAGGTGGCACTCTTGTTATCGACGACGCTCCTCTGCCAAAGTCAGTATCCTTTATGAACTTGGTCACTAGTTTCTGAAGAAAGAAACCTATCAGAGACCCAGGTGCTGGTTGAAAACATTTAGCTGCTTTAACTAAACACTACTTTAGGTGGAAAAGTCAACTTATCTGCCTGGAATGGAACAAGACAGAAAATATTTATTTCAGGTAGACGCCCTGCTTTTGTTACCTCAGTCTCCCAACAGGATTCCCATATCTTAGTTTCCCCCTCCTTTCTTCCAGACCGTCCTCATTCTGTCATTCAGACACTTTCTATGAGGACACAGGCCCTCTTTTTGACTTTGATCACTATGTGCACATCTGTAGTCTATGCAACATTGAAATCATGTCTGAGTGGATAATCGTTGACCTCAAGGCCATTAGTCTGTCCTCCCATTTCTCAGCATAAATATTGTGGATATGGACCACATGTTTGTCTTTGCGAGACTCCTGCATTGAGCTCCACACCCTGACTAAACAAAGTCCTTGCATCAGTGTGGCTCTGGGGAAAAACATTAGTGAAAATTTGAGGAGATGTTCTTGTTTTTCTTGAATAGTCATCACAATTTATTTTCTGTCATTAAAGAGTTCCATGACCTGCATTTTACCTTCAGTGTAGCAATAAAGATGATGGAAGTGCATCCACAACGTCCCTGAAGAAGAGCTAAAACTGTAGTAGTTTAAAGTTGGCCTGACTCAGCTGGATTAGATGTCAGGTTGTTTAGCATCACCTGTGATTGGATTAGACGTTGTGTTTAGGACCCAATCATTCTTCCACTAACGCACACTTCTCTCCCTCTCCATCTGACTCCGGCTCTTCCGCTCCGCCTGATCTGTTCTTGTCTCGGCAGGAGAGGAAGTCCACTGCTCATCGGTGTGCGAAGCGAACACGAGCTACACACCGAGCACATCCCCGTCCAGTACAACAACGGTGAGCTCAGTTCCTTTCTATCCCTGCAGCCTCAAACTACTCCCAACGTCACACACTAGAAATGCTTCCTGGAAACTCAGATTTCTTCATATTGTTCTGGATTAAACAATAAAAAGTTTCCTCTGACTTCCATAGAAGTAGCCAAATGGAACAAAACCACATAGATAGCCAAAACCATTATCTTGGCTAGGAGCAAAGGGAGTTGCTTCAGTCTGTTTTTATTTTATTATTTTTTATTGCACAATAATTCTTCAAAGTGAATATCTTAGAAATCAGTTTTCACTGGTGCCACCACAGCAGCCGTGTGCTTTTAAAAGATGGTGGACCAATAGAACCACACTTTGAGAAAATATTTGCCTGAATAAAAATCCAATATATTTGTGGCTAGTAGCTTGTTTTCCTAATAGTTTCTTTGCATTAGGTGTGTGTATTTTGCTGTCGTATCAGCAGAGGTGAGGAGGCAGCAAATTTCAAAACATTCAGGTGGAAAATTGTCATGGGCTGTTGCTTTCAGTGGTCAAAAAGTATTCTATTTAAATTTCTTTGAATTGAATTTAATATTTATGATTTGTAATTGAAAGTCAAGATATCTTCAGTGCAAAAACTAAATGTGTGGCCGTGAAATTAGGTTGTAAGTGAAGCATGTTTAACAGGATGTACAGGTTTACAAGCAGCACCAGTCAAATGTTTGGACACACCCACTTGTGTAAAGTGAATCCTGTTCTCATAGAAATGAGTGAATATTTAGCTGAATTAATTAAATGTCTACCAGACTTCTGAGATCCACCAAAGTTTTCCTAGAAGGGTTTGAAGTTAACCATTTGCTAGAAATATTGAAAATGAAAGTGTTTCAGCATGGCACTAACGGCCTATTTACTAAAATGTCCAAATAGGACTCAGAAGCAAACATCTTTAGCCCCTAGATCATGCATAATCCCTCTGAACTCAGTGACCTCCTCAAAAGGTTGTTTGAAAGGAAAAATCAGCAAAGCATCCAAGTCAAATACCAGTAAAAGATTTATGCTAAAGCTAATGTCAAAGCTTTTGGTAAGTTGCACTAAATGATTATCATGATTAATTTATCTTGGAAAGCTGCAAACACATAAACTTTCATTTACTTAAGTCAATAATATAGTTTCCGATGAGCAGACATGCTAGGAAATACACATGCAGGAAGAGAAGAGAGCAGAAACCGGATTTTTCCTGTTTACCTAAAAGTTATGCTAGCATTAGCATTGCAGCATATTGTGTTAAAAACAGATGTAGAAAGACCAAAACGCAGACTCAGAGATGGAAAAGTTCAGTGAAAGACCGTGGTTCTTAATAAATCAAACAGTAATAAAGTTACAGTGAACTCAGGCAGGGAGAAGGCAGCAGGAACAAACAGGAAGAACCAGGAAACTAGCTGCAACATTAATCTGCAATTGGTATCTTTATTTGCTTTTATGACTACAGGAACTTACTTTGTTCAACCTTAGTACTGGATTTAGCCAGAATCCCCCAGGAAATGTTCTGTTTACCTCCAAGTACAAATAATAAAATGAATAGCAGTGTCTTTAGGGAGAATAAGGGGGGTTAGGTAACTGAACTGTTGTTGGTTTGATCGCAGCTCAAAGTCACTCTGTTTTTGTGTCCTTGGTCAAAACACCTAACACACCTTGCTGGCTCTTCTCACCGTCATTTTGGATAAAAGCTTCTACTAATGTATAAACGGAATGAAAAAAATAAAACACAGGAAATCCAGTTTCACGTCTTGTTTGTTTGTACGGTGCTGTAAAAGGCAAATGTGATACTTGAGTATACATTCAGGGATTTGTTGTCATGCTAGCATATCAGTTTGGGAAGATTACTGAAAAAACCTTGACATTTCATGAATCTCTTGTCTTCAAGTAGAACAAAAACAAGACAGATGTTTGAGTGACTAAGTGTGAGTTCAGCCCACTGACCCTTGACCTTTTCATCTCAGCAGGTCACTTCAAGGAGGAAGTGCAAGAAAAGAACAGCCACAACAAGTCCGACAGCTCCAATGCCATCAACTCCGTTGGGGATGGCAAGGCCGTGGAATACTACTTTGCATCTGATGCAAGGTGAGGAAGCCGTTTGTGGTGAATGATGCCTTATGGGATTTTTTCATTCGTCTCTCTGCTGTCCATCCTGTCGGTATTTCTACCAAGTGTGACTCAGTGTTTCTGCCCGCACAGCGCCATTATCGAGCACACCAACAAGGTGCTGTACATGGAGGACGATGACATCGCTGTAGTGAAAGGAGGGAACCTCTCGATCCACAGGATGAACCGGCAGGCCGGTGAGGATCCAGTGAGGGCAGTTCAGACCCTCCAGATGGAGCTGCAGCAGATCATGAAAGGTCAGCTCATAGCAAAACGACCTTTATGCAGAATTTGATAATACTTTATTGCTTTTGTTTCCATATAATATAGTCCAGCAGAGATAAAAACACAGCAGATAAGAAGTCATAAAGAATTGCCTGTTTTATTGCACAGATAAATCATATAGAATGATGTTTGTTCGCCCTCTGCTGGCTAGAAGAGTGAAATCAGTTTGCTGTTGGTCGTTTTTTTATTTGTTCTGTTTTTTTTTATACAGGAAACTTTGAAGCCTTTATGCAGAAGGAGATCTTTGAGCAGCCAGAGTCGGTTGTCAACACCATGAGAGGGAGGATTTGTTTTGACACCAACGCAGGTGATCCCTCATCTAAGTCACAACTTCTGCTTTCAAGGCTAAATAGATCATAATTTTGAGCATTTGTACTTTTGTATAAAATGTAGTAGCAAATGTGATTATCCAAGTTTGCTGTTTGACTAAACATTGCTGTCTGCTCTTGTGATTTCTAAGTGGTTCTTGGTGGACTGAAGGACCACCTGAAGGAAATCAAGCGCTGCAGACGGTTAATCATGATTGGTTGTGGCACAAGCTTCCACGCTGCAGTCGCTGTAAGTCCAGCTAATCATTTTTTCTGATTATGACTATTAATAAGAAGCATTAATCATTAACCAGTGAAGTTTAAAGGTGTGAAACACTGAAATTTTTTTACATGATTATTTTTTATTATAATCAGTCACTCTGAGTTTTCCATACAGTCTGAACATGAAAATAGTCTCCTACACCTACCTCCTGCATTAGCTTCTGATAGAAAATAGACAGTGAAACTGTAGGATTGGAAAAGCCTGACAGATCTACGTCACACTGTAATATAACATTCATGGACTCACTCATATTGACTCATGACGCGGAAGGCTGTTGCTGGTTTAGCATCCAGGAAAGAGCAGAGAACGCCTCGGCTTGTAGAAGCTAACCATTAGCATTAGCAACTTCACCACAGGGCAGAACTCATCCATGTTTGTGTTATTTATGGAGACAATTCAATGCATTTTATTTACAGTATATAGCGCCAAATCATGGCAATAGCCGTCTCAAGGCATTTCACCAAGTAAACATTCCAGTTGAGTCCAAATCATTATGCCAGTTAGTTTCCTATATAAGGAACCCAGCAGGTTGCCTTGAGTCAACCCCAGAGGTCATCATCCCCCCTGCAGTAAGAATGTGTAACTCCTCAGTTCATCTGGTACTGGCATTATCCTGTTACACAATATCATCAATGCAATATTCATTATGTGTTCAATATTTTATGAATATGATTCTATTCTATTCTATTCTATTCTATTCTATTCTATTCATCAATGTTACAGAGCAAACTGAATCAGTGGTAGAGTCACGTTTCTCTTATCCAATCCAATATTTTTGTCCAAATATCAGGAAATAAAACTCCAAATCCTGTCATCTGAAGCTAATTTCTCCTCCAGGGATTCATTTCTATTATAGACAGCTGCAAATATACTGAATAAACGAGTGAACCACACCTTTAAGTTGGAATGCATCACTTGAATGTTTTAACCCTCTCGGGCTCAAAATAAGTTTTGATAAAAGGACGAACAACAAAGTCCTTCAGGGGTATTTCTAAGTAAAAAAAAATGCCCATGAAATACGTATGTGGAGTAACCAGGTAGGTAGGGTTTAACGTTCCAAATCTGCAACGCCTGCCTCCAGAGGGTTAAGGCAGTATTCATGTAACAGCTGCATTTGTTCTTCTCTTCAGACCAGACAGATCCTCGAGGAGCTGACAGAACTTCCTGTCATGGTGGAGCTGGCGAGTGACTTCTTAGATCGCTATACCCCTGTCTTTAGAGATGATGTCTGCTTCTTCATCAGCCAGTCAGGTAACAATGATACCTGTTTGAAGATCTGTTGTTATGATTCTTTTCTTCCATCTGAAACAATTGACACAGAAAACAACTCAGGGCCCAGATGTGCTTACATTGATGCAAACATCAACAACTGATTCACTGTTGGAGTGGAGGGCGCCATCAACTGGCACACAGCTGCCAGCCACTTAACATTCTCCCTGTCCCGATATCAACTTTTACTTTCTTTATCATTGAATGTGCTACTTACTAGTTCACCTGTTGAATTAATTATAGATTCACTTAAAGACAACAAAGTTTATCTCTTACTAAATGGAATATCTTCTAAGAAATCACAATGTAGCCATAGAAAAATTACTCAGTGTGTGTGTGTGTGTGTGTGTGTGTGTGTCTGCTCTGTCTTCTTGATCCCCAGTGGGTCATATTTATGCTTGTAAACGGGTTATTCTGATCAACTCAGAAACCTGAATACCGACCTTAACCCGATCATAACCCGGATATTGGCTGCATGTAAACGTAGTCTATGAGGACTGCTGTAAAGACTCCTGACACTAGTCAGTGACTCGATGCAACCTGCTGGGTTCCTTATATAGGAAACTTTTCACAGATGGGCATAATGAACTGACCTGTATTGGAATGTTTACTTTGTTAAGTGTCTTGAGACGACTCTTGTCGTGATTCGGTGCTATGTGAATAAATTGAATTGAACTAAAATGGATTTAAGATGGACATCAAAGTAATCTTATCCAATTTGACCATGTGTAACAGCTAAAGAAAGGCAGCAACAATCCCTCCTTTTTTACATGATTTGTGTTGTAAATTCAGGCTTTTTAAATAAACTCAACTAAATTAAACAATTTAAACATAGACCCTCTAACTGCATATTTTTTAAGTTAATCATACATAATTAACTTAAGGTTTCGCTCTCCTCACTGCTGTAGGAGAAACAGCAGACACTCTGATGGCTCTGCGCTACTGCAAAGATCGCGGTGCTCTCACAGTTGGCATAACAAACACCGTGGGGAGCTCCATTTGCAGAGAAACCGACTGTGGAGTTCACATCAATGCAGGACCAGAGATAGGAGTGGCTAGCACCAAGGTACCTATCGTTTAAAAAGAATTCTGATACTATGATTGAAGTACAGCTATGCCTCAGTGTGTACAAGCATAGAACTGTGTGTAACGTGACACTCTGTCCACCACTTGAGGGTCATACCAGTGTGTGTGTTGTGTCTGTGCTCCAGGCCTACACCAGTCAGTTTGTGGCTCTCATCATGTTTGGTCTGATGATGAGTGAGGACAGACTCTCCCTGCAGAAAAGAAGACAGGAGATCATCCAAGGCCTCAAAATGTTACCTGGTCAGTGCACTAGCAAAATCCTTCATAGTCACAAACATCAGTGTAAAACCAACACTGTTGTGTTTTCACGCTGAAGTCTTTACCTTCCTTTGTTCTGTCTCCAACCTCACAGAGCTGATCAAAAAGGTGCTGTCGCTGGATGAGAAGATCAAAACCATCGCCAATGAACTGTATGAGCAAAAGTCCCTTTTGGTCATGGGTCGAGGTTACAACTACGCCACTTGCCTTGAAGGGGCACTGGTGAGTTAAAACATTCCTGTTCGCGGTGAAATTGGTTTAAATTAAAACACATGTGTCTTATCTTTTTATTCTGTTGGATTCTTATTTCTCTAACAGAGAAAATGTATTTATTCCAATGTAGAAAATTAAGGAGATCACATACATGCACTCAGAGGGTATCCTGGCTGGAGAGCTGAAGCATGGTCCTTTGGCGCTCATAGACAAACACATGCCTGTCATCATGATCATGATGCGTGATGCTTGCTACACTAAGTGTCAGAACGCCCTGCAGCAAGTCACTGCCAGATCGGTAGGTTCTGGGAAACATTTTAACTGAAACATGGCTGCAGCCACAGTAATGGATTCTTCACCTAAAGGTTTAGAGAATTCTTACACCAGGTTTCTCCCTCCAACAGGGCCGACCCATCATCCTCTGCTGCCAGGAAGATTCAGAGGCGATAAAAGACGCCTACCAGACCATCGAGCTGCCACAGGCTGTGGACTGCCTGCAGGGCATCCTCAGTGTCATCCCTCTGCAGCTGATGTCTTTCCACTTGGCCGTTCTGAGAGGATACGATGTATGTTTGTGTTTTAAACACTTATATTATAATATTTGTTTGCACACATGTTGAAATTCGACTTTAATAACACACTGAATCTAAAATTCAGACACACTTTTCTGTCTGGTAGTAAAATGCTGCAGATTGTGGATTATATTTTGTTTTAATTAGTCTGCTAAAGTGAATTATTATTTTAACATGTTTTCATCCTTCACTTTTTTCAGGTGGACTGTCCCAGAAACTTGGCTAAGTCTGTGACTGTGGAATAATTATCATTTGTAAACTCCAGAGAATTGGCTTTAGAAGATTCACAGAAAAATTGTGCAATCAAGAGTTGTGTGTGTGTGTGTGTGTGTGTGTGTGTGTGTGTTCGTGTGTGTGTGTGTGTGTGTGTGTGTGTGTGTGTGTGTGTGTGTGTGTGTGTGTGAGAGAGAGAGAGAGAGAGAGAGAGAGAGAGAGAGATAGAGAGAGAGAGAGAGAGAGAGAGAGAGAGAGAGAGAGAGAGAGAGAGAGAGAGAGAGAGAGAAAGAGAGAGAGTGTGTGTATTGTGTGAATGGTGATGTGAGAGAGGTCTTGAAAAACTGAGACATTTAGATTATTGAACTTGAAGTACAGAAAGAAATGTGACATCGGACCAAAACCTTATGAGGGATTCTGCAAAAACTACAATCATACAGCCAAAGTGACCTGCTGTGCCTTGAATATGTCACGACACGAGCCAAACTTGCCATGAGGCTTAGAAGAAGAAAACTTGTTTATTGAAGTGTTTACAAATGTGCAATACTGACACTAAACATGGATTATGAATGTATATAATCACAGGGCCATTTTCTGTTTTTGTTTTTTGAATTTATTACCTACAGTGGGGTCTTTATTATTTTATTTTAATTTAAATGTCATTGTCAAGAACCAGTTTATACAGGGTTTACTTCATTTGTTTCTGTTTTTCTGCTTTTGTTGTCAGGTGAAACCATATGAAATAAAGAGCAGTAAAATTAATGTTAATTTTTCTTAAATGGCAGCACTTTGTATGGGTTTTATGATGATAATAATAATAATACTTTGTTTTTTAATACTTTTACAGGAAATAAAGACATTGAATGGTATATTCATGATTGCACTGTATATTGTTAATTTTGTATGATAAATAAATAAACGTAAATCAGTAAATTAATATATTACTTTTAAAGTGAGCAGTTGTCCTTTTTCCCTTTATTCTGTTTGTAAAATCTATTTTGTAAAAATTAATTTCTAGGATGAAGAAAATATTTGACATTTTGAGAAAATTATTTAAAAATTAATAATTAATATCGCGTAGACGCACACTGCGTAATGACGTCACTCGGAGCTCGAGCTCTGCTTGTTGGTGGTGCTCCGTCCGTTCCTCTGTGCTGCAGTTGGAGTTAGCTTAGACAACGGCGGACGGTCTCTTTAGTCGTGACACCCGGGTTGGTGGTTTTTCCGTAACTTTTCAGACTCACGGTTGTCCCTGAAGGACCGTGAGAGACTTTAATCTGTGTTTTGGATGTATGGGAGCTTCCTGGGAGCAGCGACGGGAGAAGGTAGGTCTCGCGGCTGTGGCTGCCGCCTCCTGTAGTCTGTCGGACCGCCAGGGCTCCTAGCTGAGCCCCGACGGGCCGACAGCTGCATTGCCCCCGATAGAGCGAGAAACGCGAACAGTTTAGGCCCCGCTAAGTTCGAGTCATATTTAAGGTGAAGTATGGTTTAATTCAATTAAACTTTGATAGAGTAAATGGGAGATTTATGTTTGTCCTAGATACCAGCGGACAGCGCTGCGGTCTCCATAGGAATGACTCCCTTGTGTTGCAGCACGCGTGCTTCATGTTTTAAATTAAAACCAAGATATGTTTCACATCTGCCCTAACACCTGGATGTACACATCTTAATCATTGATGCACATGTAACACATTACGTACAGTGGACCTGATGACCACAATTATCACACAAGCACATATGTTGTCAAAACTTCCTATTTTCACCCGTATCTAGTTCGTTTGTTATTTCAGAGACTTGTTCTGATATATTATCACATACTAACCTTGTTAAAGCATTCCATAATGACTTGATCTGTGCAACAGTGAATGAATAATAGAGGAATAGTGAAATGAAAACATCTAACTCATCTATAAGAGAGGTCGATCACGGATCTTTAGCAGACATCTGAAGCTGCAGCATCATCCTAGATGTAGCTGTTTTGTAACCCTGCTACATGACAATGAGACTTTAAATCTTTAGGACTTGTTAATGTCATCACCAGCTCAATGACTACCGTCTGACTCCCTGCTGAGAGTCACTTCAGACCCCAAAGCTGGACTGGGCAGAACTGGACTTAAGGCCATGATGAGTTAGGGGTTGAGGATGGTTATGTGAAGGTCGCTTATGAGCCCTTTCACCAATAACAGTAATGTTTTCAGTTAAGAATGGGTTTAAAATCTGGTTAAAAACATAATATAACCCATCATTCCTATTTATCTATGACAAATTATCATAAATGCTGTTAACGAAGTGAAATGTAGCTCCCTTTACTATCTTTAGTTTTCACATTGATGCTCCGCTCTTTTTTGCATCAAATTAAGCAGTTTTCTCTATGCAGATCTTTTCATATATTTAGTATTTGTTTGATATTTGAATAGCTCTCTTTAGCACAACAGTATGCCTGTTGTGTCTGGGATTGAAAATATTTTTATGATTCACTTTTAATCCAAGGACATCTTCCAGACTAACACAGACTAACACAGCACATCTAGTATTTTTATTACAAATGATTTTAAATGCACACTATACAATTTTTTTCTATTTTCAAATCATTTTCTTGAGCCAGTAGGAGCTAAAGTGACCCTTTACAGAGTGAATGAAAATCCTCTCCACCTCTTGTGAGCAGGATGCCATATGTGAAACATCAACCTCTCTGGACCACTGCCCCGAAGTTTCACAAAGTCACACTTTACAGCAGTCCATGTTTACACCTCAGAACAGGCAAGGTTTAGAAGAAGAAACAATCCTTTATATAGCGGCTCGCAAGATAAAAATCACGAGGCACTTCACAAGAACAAAAACTAAAAACTAAAAATATATATAAAATCGGAAAAAGTTAAAATTGTAATTAAAAATGTGAGGAAAGTGAAAGAGATTATGAATAAGAAAAGGTAATCATTTGATCCAGAGGTAGGCATAATTGGTAGATAGAGCTGAATGAGGAGAAGGTAGTGATGAAGAGTCAACCGAAGGTCACACCAAAGCCAGCTTGAACAGGTGAGTCTTCAGCTGCTTTTTAAAGGAGTCCACTGATCTCAGGCTCAGGGGGAGAGAGTTCCAGAGTCTGGGGGGCCACAGCAGCAAATGATCTGTCACCTTTGGTCTTTAGCCTGGTGCGCTGCACAACCAGTAGGCATTGGTCACTGGACCTCAAGGACCTGCTGGGAGTGTAGGGACAGAGAAGATCACCAATGGATGATGTTGCTTGTCCATGTAAGGCCCTATAGACCAGAACCAGGATCTTGAAATGAAACCTGATGTTAACTGGCAGCCAGTGAAGCTGGAGGACAAACAGGATGATGTTGGTGTATTTTCATGATTTGGTCAGAAGCCGAGCACAGACATTACCTTTTAGTTAGTCATTTATTGTAAAGTGCTTATCATGGCAGAGCCTCAGAGGAGACAAGGAAAACATTTATCTGATGAAGTTAAAAACTAAAAAGGATAAACCACCAGAACAGAAGTCAAACGAGTCAACGTTGGGAGTTTTATGACATGATTCCTGCATGTTTTAGATCACAAACACACCTGATTTGTTTGAGTTCGTGATGAACCACTGTTGTAGAAATGAATGAAGGCTGATGAGACTTTTCAGCAGTTAGGATAAGGTTTTAAAAACACAAATGGACAGTGAGGAGGACGGTTTCAGTTTCATTTTTATGACATTGAATTAAAACAGACACTATGGGGGTGCTAAAAGCGCAGTTTCCTTTTAAAGTGACAGTGTGTAGTTTTTATCATTAATCTCTGGAAATAGCCATCAAAATGTTGTTGAAAATGAATCAAATGATGTCCAGTTGTTGAAAAATATTGGTGGCTTTGTAACTAATAACCATAAAAATCTGGTCTAAAATACATGGGAGCGGGTCTAAGTCTCTAGGTGACACCATATTAGATGCCGTGTTTCCTTCTACGGGAGCCCTTGAGGGTGAAACACATTTACTGATTTGTAACAAATGGTTACAAAACTGCATTCATAAATGTTGTTTTGAGGGTTGAGAATTTTAAACCAGTTCTTGTTTAGAACCGGTTCCCATTGTTTCAGTTCCTAGGAATCGTTCGGCACTTTTGTAAACAATTCCCCTTATCAATTCCCGACGGTGCGAATGACGTCACCACACTCGTTGCATAGCTTACGGAAGCAGGAATAATGGTGTCTAATAGGGTTGTCACGGTAACCGGTATAGCGGTAAACCCCGGTAAAAAAGTTGACAATAAAAATAACCGTCCAGTTTTTAAAAAACTATATTATCTCGGTGGGTTTACCGTGGCTGCGGTTTCAGCGCGGTGACCCTTACCAGCCACCGTCGCTTCAGCTGAAGTTCCCGCAGCGCGCACACGCACTTTTTAGTTTGCAACGGCACCAAAACTTTGAAGCTGAAATAATGGCTGAAGGAGGAGACGGCAGCGCCCAGGACATCCATCCGCCCTCAAAGAAGACTAAATCGGAAGTATGGGCATATTTTGGATTTCTGAAAATGCTGAGGGACAGTTAATAGAAGACTGCTATCCCGTTTGCAGAACGTGCAGGAAACAAGTGTCTGCAAAAGGCAGCAACACTTCGAATCTAATGGCACATCTGCGTGACCATCACCCACGTCTCTACAGCCAGTGCAAGGTAAGTTAACATTAGCATTTTAGCTTAAATGCATGACGTGAGGACTTTTGGTTGAGGGAGAATGCAACGAGACACTATATACTGCAGCCGCAGTGTCCTCTGCTAGCTTTTAAACCGTGTCACGGACACCCTGTTGCTGGATGAAGCATCTTATTTGTTGATGATGAAGAGAAATATACAATTAGTTCCTTGTCATTGATTTGTTTACTTGTTCAATGCCATTTATACTTGAACATTTGGATTTGATTACATAGTGTAGTAGTTATTTTAGTAATTTGTTTAAAGTGGATATTTATTTTAAATACATATTTTTTAAGGTTGACTTGTACAGTGCTCAAGTCAAGTGTGGACTGGAGTTTTAGATTTTCATTTTGATAATGAAGAAAACAAGTATATGAGAAAACAAGTGGTGTTTCTTTGATTTGTTTACATATTGTTTATGTTTTGAATGTTTGGATTTGTATCATTTAAACCTGCACTGACTACTGTAACATGTTCCAGAAAAAGAAGCTATTTGTTCCTTTACTTGTGAAAAGTTGCACTTTTGCTAAGGCTTTGTGTTATTTTAGGTTTAATAAACACTGTTAAACATTTTCAGAACTATTTCAGTTTGTGTAGAACAGGACTATCAATGCTTTCTGAACATATGCAACACCGTTTAAAAAATACCGCGATAATACCGAAAACCGTGATAATTTTGGTCACAATAACCGTGAGGTTAAATTTTCATACCGTGACAACCCTAGTGTCTAAGTGGCACAAATGCTCAGAAGGTTGGTTATATTTTACAAGAAAGCATTACAACAGGGTAACTTTCAATAATTGCATAGTAAATATTTCAGCGAGGAAAGGAAAAGGCATTTGGGCACAAAATACATGATAACTTTAAGTTAATGACATGTTTTGACCCGCTACGACTAGTGAATATAAACGCAGCAGCAGCGGTGACGTTCGCACATCCTCTCCTGTTAATACTGCAAGTAACTAATCAACTAACACTACCTATCGTGTTAGTGTCATTTACCTTATATTTACACCTCCACTTGCAGACTCCAGCGGCAAAAGTCTGATCTGTGGTGACTTTTTTTCCGACTCTGCAAAAGCTACAGCAACACTGCACCAAACAAGAAGATGACTCTGCCTTCACAGGGAGCATAAATGAGAATATTTGGAAAGATCTTTCCAACCAATACAGGTACAACTGATTATCATAAATAAACCAACAGTTTTAATGCAGGAGGCCATGTGCTATTAGTTTTTAACCACCTATTGAACTACTCTGGAATTGATAAGGGAATTGGATCGATAGACTGAATCGACAATGCCATTGATATTGATAAAAACGTATCAATTCCCGCCCCTAGTCATTTTACTCATTTACCTCTTCACTCATTGCCTGTGATGAAAAGGAGTCTGATGTGCTTGTAATTTTGCTGAAGTTTGCACTCCCCGGGCCTTTTTTTACCCTAATAGGCATCCATTGATAAGATCTTACTCCAACACAAAAATACTGCTTGCTTGCAATGATTTAGGTATCTACTGCCCCATCGACCAGAAAATAACACACTGTCTTTAAAGAGGATACTTTTATCATCAAGACTAATAAAAATGTAATTCTTGTAAAATTGCAAGTTATGCATAAAAACTATTCTTACTGTAATGAGTTAG